TATATATATATATATATGGCAAGGCATATCGCATGATCATTTGAAACACTTAATATTCAAGCCAGTACTAGCAAAAATTAAAGCAAAAGATGACAGAAATGGGTTTTTATATTTGTGAAATACGATTTGTGTAAACGATTGCATGAACTCTTAAAAAAACTCTCTGCCTGAAATCTTGTGCAAGCCATCAATTCATATGCTACTACAGTGCTGATATACTCCATCGGCATTATTAAATGGAGCAATATCGACCTCGACGACTTCCACAGGAGAATTCTAACCGCTACAAGGTAACACCGAAAACATCATCTCCATTCGAGAATTCAATGTTTTACTCTTCCCAGATCCCAAGGAGGGCGAGGTGAGGTAGATCTCATAAACCTACACAGCTCTCAAATTGCTTCACTCAGAAGATACTTCCTGTATCATTATGGGAGACGTCGGCAAATAGTGAGCGCAATTGACAATAATTCCATTTCTTTAAACCTGAAAAACACTGACCCACCTATTCGGCCATACATTGCAACTGAGGAGAAGAAAACCTCATGGAAAGCGAAGGCACTGCACGGAAGGTACCCCATAAGCTGATTTATAATTGAAATGAATTGAATTATTGCTTTATTTTACGTGGCGAGACTCAGACCATGAGGCCTGCTCTTCCGTCTGACCACACAAATTTCGCTACGCTCCTTTCACCAACTAGCAGAGAAAGAGGTATTTCTGGGGCGAGAAACAGGCGATTTGAATTTAGCTCAAAGGCGTCATTTAGGATTGAGGATCTTTTACATGTATGTAAATCTACTAACATGAGACAGCCGGCTTTACCTCCCCTCCGAAGAAAGGCGTACGAAGGATTTTTTCGCACGTATAAATCCACGGCTTCGATCGGACTTGAAGCCCCCAACTTGGGTACAACAGTCCGTTACACCATCGCCGCGCGCGAAGTGTTAGCCAGAAGTCGACAAATCAGCGTCGCACGCTTGGCTTCAGCAGCGTGAGGATCTTTCTCCAGAGACAGAAGTCTTCAAGATAGCTATCCAGGGCCAAGTGGTGCCAGCTTTGAACTACAAAAGACACATTCTAAGTGATTCGACCATCCATTTCGATATATGAAGATGTGAGCTTACCACAGTCGGAGTGTAGAAAGGAGCAAGATGAAGAAGTGAAGTAGGTCGACCAATTATTGGCAATAGAAAACGCTTACTCACCTCTGCCTTTCGGTATCATAAATATGTTCGTCTCAACGTGCTTGAAAGTAGTGAATACGATCTCTGTTGGGACCGCTCCAATATAACTGGACAGACAAGCCAGCGGCAAAAAACTCGATATAAAATTCGACCGAAACCATCACCAGACTTTCCTTGTTGATATATCAAAACCCTATACCACCAATATATCGGCAAAACATTAAGATCAGAAATATCTCACCCATGAAGTAGCATCTCAATGGAACCTCAACCAAGTGACATTTGTGTCAATAATAATATCAACCACAGGATTGACCCCGAAAACAACTCTTTAAGCACTAGTGTCTCTTCCCTTGGATATAAGGAATATACACAATATGCATAAGGCAGGTATCTTGAATACGTTAGGAACCACCTGAACCCGAAGTGCTCTCGTGGCTCAGTGACGAAGTTGCTTGCCTTTCCACTTTAAGTGTCCCTACCCCAATCCTAATTCTTTCCCAATTCTGGTTGTTGAATAATGACGCAGGGGCGCGTACGCGGAGATGCTACTTGGCAGCCTTCTTGAGAACTGACTGCAACGAGACGTGACGGATATAACAATGTTAATAATTAATGGAGAATTACTCCGGAAGCGCTCAACCGCTGTCCGCAAGCCCCCCGGGGCTTGAAAATACGTTGCGTTAATTGAAAACGCAACACTTTTTTTTAATTTCAATAAAGCAACCGCACACCTGGCCACTAAACTTATGAGTGGTTGACATACCAGCCAGTAACAAACTGAAGAATAAATAATAAATTGAAAGGTAATTATTGGTGAGAGGATCAAATTCAAGCTGTCGTCGACCCCTATCGTTTTTTAAATTGGAACTATCGACCCATAAGAAAGTTCAAATAGTTCCAGGGGTCGATATTGACCAGTTTAGAAATGACTAATGAAGAAAAAACGTATTTTCATTATGAAAAAGACTGCTCTAGACCACGAAGGTATGAATATTCTTAGCTCCATGGTCCAGACCTCCTTGATACAGCTTCCTAAAAACGGATCTTAAATGCCGCATACAATTTCACATATTTTTATCATTTTCATTCATGGCAACACATTTTGGCGGGCATTCAAGTTCTTACAATTGCCGAGATACGGCTCATATCCTTCACTACATGCAAATTCCATGAACACCTCTTTGCGAAGAGTGTCGACCACTATCTGCGCCTCGCGCGCATTGAAGCCTCCGGGAATGCGCGGATCCATGGTGTTGCCGCCACCAACTTCGCCCACTCGACTGTTTCTTACTGAGAAATAACGGCATGGACGTAGCTAGGAAATCATTTTCGTGATTTAATTAATGTAACAATATTTATTATTGTTGGTATTGTTGGCTAGCCATTAATGAAAGGCTAGAGAAAACGCATGCACTGTGAAAGGAATCATTCGATCATGTGACCGCTCGTGTTTAATATCATTGTTCTTACAATATTTCTTACATTTAATGGGTTAAGAGTATTTAACGGACTTTTTAAAAATATCTATGAGTAACATGATAGTAGATAGGTTATCACATTAGAGGTTTGCAATATATTGGAAAGAATGAATTTATTAACATATTTTAATAATAATTGATTCACTGTTATTTAATCTGTTGCTGCAAATAATTTAACTGGAATTTCTACAACAGCACGTAGTTGTTTGTGCAATATTGGTAAAGGTTACTGAAGTGTTCAGTAAATGAAGGTTGCAGATCAACTTAACGTTTCTTTATTCACTAAAATAAGTTTTACAACTCGAAATTCTTTCTGAGTCAATATAAAGCAAAAGTACTTGCGCCGCGGATGCCTCTTCTGCTTGCTGCCATGCTCCCTAGTGGGTGAGGGCGGGCGATTCGCCCGCTTCCACTGAGCCGCCGCCGCCGCATTACTTAGTAGTTCTCGTGCGATGGCCTCTTTAGACCCGTCCTGTGAGCGGCCTCTCATCGCCTCTGTCACAGTGACCTTTTTGCTTCTGTTTCGGCGTCTCTCCAGCGGCTGGCTGGGCTCAAACTCCCGACTCCAAGCGGCCGGCGCTCAACGGTAAACTGTAATGTGAACTAAGAGTGAGCTGGGAGACGACAGCGAGGGGACGATTGCTGAATGAGATCAACCAGGTCGTAATAGCGCTGATAGAACAAAGACGAGGACGGTGCGGTGCCATTGCAGTGTCAATGGTTGAACAGAATGTAGCCCGTGACTCCTGTAGGAGCGACCACTCATGTATGTATTGTATGTAATGTATTGTCAAATAAATTTTATCGATTTGTAAATCCGTTCGAACCGATTTAACTTAAAAAATACGTATTCTGTAAGCATGACATGTAAACACATTTCAGACACTTCGTTGGACCGGCGCTTCTGAATATTAACCCACCTGCTCAAAGACATGCAGAATTTGCAACTAAATGTGTATGAGGTCAGAGAAACACACACACACACACAGAGAGAGAGGTAGAGGGTGAGTGAAAGGGAGGGAGATGGGGGGATGGAAAGAGAGGGGGGACGGAGGAAGAAATATATCAGGGGACACCAAAACGTGTATTTCCGTTGAAATCTCGAAATCGATTTACCGCAGCATTACATAACATTCCCAACACTAAGAATATTACTTCGTATATACGTACCTATGCGGGAAAGTAAAAAGTTTCGTAACGCTTCCATCCATAGCGCGTCTGAGGTTAAGAATGAAGTACAGGGTCTTATGGTCTTTTCCAGTAAATAAACATACCCCCGTTTTAAGATTTCAAAACTGTTTGAAACCCTCATTAACATAATTTTTCATCACAACATTTATATTAGTAAAACAATACTTCGAATATATTATGTATTTAGAACAAATTGTTGTGAATATCTTTAGAATGTATCATTTTTTGAAGGAAGGGATACGTTCGGCTGTTGAATCAGCCACAGCTGCGGTGCCACGTGCTTCGGTTGCCGTATCATAGCGCCCCCCCTCCCATTGCAGGATTCGTTGTTACCGTCGAGCGCGCAACTTTCGATCCATACAGTACTGCAGAATAGGGCCAGTTTTGGCATCAGTCTCCAATATACAATATATATATATATATATATATATATATATATATATATATATATATTAAATTTTATTACCTGGTTGGGCAAAATTGAGATATGATAGGACTCGTTTCAGATTGCAAATCTTTGAAGATTGTTAATTGCTTTGGCGAATTTCTTAAGAAATTTACTAGTTCTTTGAAAGTATCAATAAAGTTTCTTGCATTATAGACATCTTCCATTGCATCTTGTACAACAAGGTTAAGGGTGTGTGCTGTGCAATGTACAAATAAAGAACGAGGTTCTTTTTCAATTATAAAACTTTTCAAACCAGAAATTTTGCTGCTCATGTTAGATACCCCATCGTAACATTGTCCTCGTAAATGATTGAAACTTAAGTGAAATCACATAAAAATATCAATGATTTTCAATAAAGCGTTTGATGTTGTACAATGTGTCTGATAAAAACAAAAAAATCTCGTGAATTGTTAAATCGTCCAATACAGACCGCAGCCAAATCGACACTTGTTCCATTCGTGAAGCATCGGAAGTTTCATCTTCTATTAACGAAAACAGCTTTGCGGACTTTATAAGTTGTAATTTTTGTCTTAGGATTTCATTTGACATGCATTACAATATTTCATTAATAATATCATGATGTAACCACGTACTTTGTGATCTAGTGAACCAAGTGGCGAGTTCCACAGAATCGTTGCTTGTTTGTAAAAATTGTATGAGGTTTGATTGTTCGTCATTGCCACTTCCGCGTAACGCTAAACCTTGTCTTGGTAATAAATTTACAATGCTAAATATTTTTTTCAATGCAGTTCTATTGTCCATCATTTCTTTTTGTTTTTGATCAGATAATCGTTCACAAACAGTTTTATTTTTTGAACTGCATATTGCTTGGGCACGACATATGTAATTCTCCAAATTCGTGTTTCTTGATAGCAATAACAGCATTTTTCCAACAATTGAAGCCATCTTCAACGAACGCTTTTAAAGATACATGGCAGCTAAAACTTGAAGGAATTGGCAACTGTTTTTCTTTAGCTTCAATGCAAATTGTACTTATAGCTTTCATTTCTGCGTTAAGTGACACCCACTTATCGGTATTTTGCCAACTTTTAAAAGCAGCAGGTATTTTTTCTCCTGAAAATTAACGTAAAGATAATTATTTTAAATAAAATATAAATAACATTAGGCAATTCAAAAAAATGTATATACAACTAACTGCAAATTAAATTAAGACATACTGGAATTCAAAATGAAAAATTTGATGTAAAATTAAATTTAATTAAGTAAAAATTTAAATTTAATGTAATTAAATTTTTCTCTATTTATATTTTATATAGAATTTGAAATTAATAATTTTTAAATTAAAATGTACCTGGAGTAGGATGGCTTAGAGTTTTCATTGTAGTATTTTCTGGCTTATTTATTGTGCTGGATTGTATATCAGATGAAAAAGTGGACGTATCCTAAATTAAATAAAAGAAACATATATACAAAATATAAATGCTTTTAACAAAACTATTGGTATATAATTATGAAAATGCTAATACTTACGTTAGAATTTGTTGAAAAAAAAAAAGATACAATTTTTCCTTCTTTCTTTCTTTTACTCATATTTATTGCATAAATTGAAATTGAAGATAATGAAAGTAAACAATTAAAAATAGTTAATTTTTTACTCAAATCTGAAGCACAGACGTAAAATCGTCGGCGTACCATACCTGAATAAACTTAGTTCGCTATGCCCAAGAAAGACGATTCTTGTTTATATGAGAAATGTATCAGTTACATTTTCGATTGATTCGTAAACATAAACAATTATATTTCGGCGAGATAATCTCGCAGCGACATAGCATTTAGTATTAAATATTATATTTGTTTCCGGAATTTATTAAATATTCATGGACTTTTACACATGACTTTAATAAAGGGATTTAATCATGGTTAAATTGTAATAATATTTATAATTACTGTGTCTATTTTCAAATCACAATAATATTTATTATATCTTCAAAAAATTGTATTATTTCTCTGTTTTCCAAAAAAATAATTTTTATTTTCAATACTTTTGGGGTATGGAATTCCATTGGCAGATATTTTCGGCGTATGGAGTGCTCCATGCAATCAGCGCCGTCCATGCAAATATGTACTCATTTGTAATCCTTATTGAATATAAACCTACAAATCTTGTCTGTTTATTATCATTTCAATTGTATTATTCGAACGAAAATGTGATGAATTAGAAAAAAATGCATGTGTATTAAACTAACAAATTAAATTCGTATTAGGATATGTATCTTTTCGAGACTAAATTGCAGGTCTGGAAGAGGATAAAGAACAGTGAAGTCCAAATGAAATGCTGCTAGATGAATAATAATATTAGATTCTCTTCCCCTATCTACAATGTTGCACTTGGTATATACTCTTTGCAATCTTGTGGAAGGAATTCCTGTATATATGTAATATTTTTTTTTGTTTTCCAGCATTATAACATAATGTTTTTTGTTGCAAGAAATCGTTAATAACCGGGCATTTTTCGGCACAAATGATGCCGTATTAGATTTTATGTCACGAATGATTGCGTCATCACATATTCAGTCAATCGTAGCGAGAAAATCGGGGGAGGTAGAGCTAAATGGAACAGCCGACCACCGTTTACTCGCACGATGTCAAATACCGAAGTCGTCACTGGGAAATTGTTTCACAAAATTAAGTTTGATTCTCTTATAAATGTATAATGATGTTATACAAGAAAATATAATTAAAATTTAGTATACGGTACACCCTTAGAGAAGCGTGGTGGCGGGGCTTAAGCCCTAATTACTGTACGTGCTCTAATAGAAATGAATAAAACTTACGGATAGGCGATTTTCATAGTTCGCCCTTCATATGCTTGGTCACCGCCGCATGGTAACGCCAATTTACTTTCAAAGGCAAATTTTCTCGCTTCGCTCGCCCGGATCTAAGTCACAGCGAGGCTCGGGCCTTCGGCCCTCGCGTTAACTATAAACATCCCCAGTCTATCCAACGCATAATTGCAAATTCACTTTTATAAGACATCACTTTTCAAGAAAGCCTCCAGAATTCTAACTGCCTAGTTAACACCGGAACGGCGCAAAGTGCCGGTTTAAACGACTTCCTTAGGTTGTACCGTATACTACATTTCTGCCAAATATAGTAAGCAACTCGTTTATAATGTTGCTTTATTACATTCGTACAAATTTTAAAACTCGCTCCTAAAGTCACTCGTTTTCAAAACATGTACTAATGCAATAAAGCTTAACATTATAAACTAATTGCATAAACTACTATTAACGGTGGTGCCAAAATAATGGGCTATGTAGGCTTATGTAATTCAATAATTACAAATTTAAAAACATCATATCAGGCTTAAAAAATGGTAGTGCTATGGAATCCGTACAATTTCCAAATGTATTTGTTTTGTGGTACTTTCATAAATATTAGATCTGAATAAATTATCATTTTCTAAACTTTTTTTAAAAAATATTTCCATCTCTATCTGTAGCAATGCCTTGTTTAATATTGTACTTCTCTTCAAAATAAATTGCACAAACAACAGAGTGGAGAGAGGGAGACCAGTTCCAGAGGTATAAGTTTAACCCACTTTTGTTTCCGAACAGGATTATTGTGCGGAAATTTGAATACTGTGGTGTCCTGTTGGTTGGAATCATAATTTCCGCTGCAGCCTGGCACACAGCATTTATTAGGCATCTGCAACAAGTCTTTTAAATTGATATAAAAAGCTTCTTAAACCACCCCCACTACTACTATAATGTAAATTTGAAGCGTTACTTACGTTCGAGCTTCTACAGTGGATTTCCTTCTCGCCGGAGCGGCGCGAACTGCCGGTTTAAACGACCGCCTTGATGCATACTCTCTGGCCTTGATGTATTGTATACTAGGCTTCAGCCCAACACTGATGCATAAGGAACTCACAATTTACATATTCTAGTCAAGGCCGACAACACAAACGTAATGTTACAAAACGCATCCTAATACTACACAACTTCGATCTCGCGCGCGGAAACCTGCCTTCGGACAGCATTGCCAAATATCAACCACAAGGCCTTGTATGTATGAAGGGGGTCATGCCTGTACCTTATTGTAGATGATGCCACGCGACTTTCCCCTCCTATTCTATATTCCTCCATGCTTACTGTTTGTCTATGACCACAAAGCACCCAAGACAGTTTTTTATGTCTAAGATGAATTACAGCAGAGTAGTAATTTCAGCAGACATAAGTAGGGCAAGAAGTAGATAAAAATTACTGAAGCATGGTCGAAAGAATGGATTTTAGATTTGAGTATCAGTTGCATTAACCCGAAAATAGTGTTCAGAGGTCATTCAGTGATTTCCGCAACTCTGCCACTGGCAGGTATCAGTTATTGACAGTGTCATCCAATCGGGAGCTTAAATGTCACCATAGCACCGTCTCTATGGTAACGTTTGAACTCCCAATTGGATGAAACCGTCAACAGCTGATAACTGCCTGGGGCAGACTTGCGTAAATCGTAGTATAGATGTATTGTTCATGGAGGTTACTTTCACCATGGTTGATCAGTGAGTGCCTGGAGTGTGTAGAGTATATACTCTTGTGGTATGTAGAGTGAGTAGTGAGCACCAGTGAGCACAGAGCAGTTAGGAGAGTATTCTAAGAGTCTGGAGTATAGGTGCTTATAAATTAATGGAGGTGATGGTGGATATGGGTGTCAAACATGATGTATTTTGATTTCTTATAGTACAATGAGTATACCTAATTGTATTATTTGTTGATACGCTTGTTTGTAGATATTAGTTAATATCAAGATTCAACATTATATCGAATTAAATATTATGTGGAATGTAAAGCTGTTACAAAGTGATTCTGATTATGGCGGTCCACGTGTGGCTGGAATACCAATTTTGTAAATGAACAATAGGTTTGCTGCCAAGTCCACGTTTTACGGACAGATCGGAGTGAGTTAAGTGAAACTGCTAATCGATTGGTTTGGTGTACATTAATTAAACGAAGAGAAAGCCGCAAGCGTTGCAAAAGCATCTTGCCTGTAAGTGAAAGGTTCCATAACCTAAATGACAGGAGCTTTTATTCAACGGGTACGTATTCTGCGTTTTGCTGATTTTGACTTTCTTTTAAGAAGCTTCTTTAAAATGGAACAAGCGCTTAATCATAGGAAAAGATTTTCGAGTAATGACTCCAGTGAAGTAGATAATAAAAAGCCTTTACTTGAAACGGACAGGGTAAAGCGCAAAAAGAGTGCTGTGTTATTGGCATATTCGGGTGTTGGTTATTTAGGAATGCAGAGAAATCCAGGCATGAAGACAATTGAAGAGGATTTGTTGCAAGCTTTGTTGAAAAGTGGATACATTAATGATGATGCATTTGCAACACCACAGAATATTCAATTTCAGCGTGCAGCTCGTACTGACAAAGGTGTTTCTGCAGCTAGGCAAGTAATTTCAGCTAAATTGCCGGAAGAAATTAACATTTCAAACATCAATGAAAACTTACCAGAACAAATAAGAGTGCTTTCAGTAAAGAGGACTACAAAAGGATTTAATAGCAAATCTGCATGTAATGCTAGGACATATTCATACACCTTACCCACATTTGCCTTTAGTCTTCCTGGGGAATCAATGGAAAATTATCGTATTACAACTGAAGTTATTGATAAAGTAAACTCTACTCTTCAATTATTTGAAGGAACTCATAATTTTCATAATTTTACTTCAAGGAAGAGGCCTTTAGATCCAAGTGCCCATCGTTATATCATGAAATTTGAATGTAGCCAACCTTTTGTGTGTGAAGATTTGGAATTGGCAACAATAAAAGTTAAGGGACAAAGTTTCATGCTTCACCAAATTAGAAAAATGATAGGTCTTACAATTGCTGTTGTTAGAGGTCATACTACAGCTGACACAATTGAAAAAGCATGGAAACATGAGAGACTTGATATACCTGTTGCTCCAGGTTTAGGTTTAGTATTGGATGAAGTTCATTATGACCATTACAATACAAGATATGGAAAAGATGGAATTCATGAACCTCTAGATTGGACAGAAGTAGAAGACGACGTGCAACATTTCAGAGAGAAGTACATTCTTCCTACTATTGTGGAAACAGAGCTGAAGGAGCAATCGTATCCTTTCAAATACTTTTCATGTGTGATTTTTTAATATTCTCTCATATTTTGGTAATATTTGTTTCAGATGTGCATTTGTCTGCTAATTTAAATATAGATCAGCTTATTATTTGTAGACAAGTAATTATAAATAAAATAGTATGTTCATGTGAATTGTATGAAATTAGACAAACATTGAAAATTAAAATTAATAGTTGTTAATTTAAAAATCTCTTGGTAATTTTAACATTATCTTGCTGTCGATGGCCACACATATTAATCCCCAACCCTCAATGATGAAGAAACAATTCCTTAGAACTGAGTATTGCGTAGTATTACTGTGAATGACACACCAGAATGTAACCTGAGCTATTGTGACAAAAGAGGCAAAGGTACAGAATTTGTAAAAGACTTACAAGGACACTGTTTTATTTTATTTGTTTATATAAGTATAGCCTACAGCAAACTTTAATACTTATGCCATTATTTGTTTTCACATATTAATTGCATAATTTAAAATTTTACCATCTGACTATTCAATATAGAAGTTGTAAAACGGTACCAATTTTGTGATGATGTACCAATTTTAACAATTCGATACGTTAGAATTGTAAGTTATCAACTTGAATGATTCAACATATTTATATTACATGGTAAGTTAAGAGAATTCACTTCTTTTATGCTTTTAAGAAATTAAATAGATTGTATTGAGTAACTTTTGTGCAGTTGCACCAGAGTTTGTAATCTGTGAAGGTCCACTTTTTTAACGTTAAGTTATGTTTGCTGGTACAGATCTCTCAATGTTTATGACTTCTTACTTACATTTTAAATTTTGAATGCTGCGCACTCCGGAAATTTTAAAAATTATTTTTCATTGATTCTGCATAATTCTTCTAAATTCAGGTTTCACACAGTTTGTGTTGTTACCAATTCTGTTTTGAGTATTAAATGAAATAATTCACGTCAGATTTATAATCAATTTTTGTGTTCTCCTAGTATCGGAAGACCTTAATTTAAATTTAAAAAACTTGTGTAATTACGAAGAATTGGCTGAACTCTAGACAAATGACACTTGCTAGTCTAAGTGAAGAAATTTGTTTATAAAAAGCCATTGGAATTTGAAATACCCAGAATCAATGTTGTTTCCGGTAAAACACACACACATGTATAGGCTATAAATATAGAAGTGGAGTGACTAAGCTAAAGTTTAGCAAGAATGTTAATAATTATTAGTAAATTTTGAATAAGGAATGCCAGATTCTTGCCCCCTTTGTTCTGTTTCATTTAGTTTTTCAAAATATGGAGTGATTGTAATAATATTTTTGATTAAAATATGCTTATTGGTTTGCATTAGTTGTTTCAGGCTACAAAAGGTACAAGTCAGGTGCATGTGCTTCAAACATTCAGTGTGCACTTCCACAAAATGAACTTACTAATTGTTTAGACCAATATTTGACTGTAAAGTTATGTCATTTATTTGTGTAGTTTCCCCTCTCTGGAAAAAGATCACTTAACTTCCAAGCCAAGTTTTATGGTGGCGTTGCAAGTTTTACTGGTGCCAATGCACCCAATCAACTTCCTATTAGTCACTCTTGGCTAGTACTCTAGTTTTTTGTGTATCAGAAAGGCCCGGTAATTTTCAATATTGACTCGGCATTGTGAGAAAAATTGAAGTGGAGGATGGTGGAAATTGTCTTAGAAAGCCAAATGATATGGGTCTAATTATTGAGCAAGTACACATTGTCCCAGTAAGACTGATATTTGCAGACTAGACACCGTGTTGAACTAATCGCACCCTATCTTATATTAACTTTCTATTGTATTTAGCTTGTTACCTGTACTTTTATTATTCTAGTGTAGTTGAGAATAAATAAGTGAATCTGGCTAATTCACTTATTCCAGTGTATTCTGTGTTAATTACAGATGGTTGTAACTACAAAATTGATGTTGAGTTCAATCTTCACACACAGTAGTACAGTCTTCAATTAAATCTGCAGAATCACCTAACCCTTTTTCAGTATTGAAAATTTACTGTTTTTATCAGGCTACTGATTAATGCTTTCATGAAAACTTTTTATCTATATTATTTAAACTTTTGGATACTACTGTTATTTTTAAATTTATACCTGCTTTGCTGTAACTGTTCTATCAGTAAATTATGGTAGTGGTCCTTAACTTTTCTTTTCAGCATGTATAATTGGTTAATAACTCTACCACTACACACTTATGATATTCGAGAGGATGAGTCTATTCAAGAAGCAGAAAAGGCTAGTGATGCAAATGCAGAATTGAGTAATCCTGTACAAGCAGAAAAGGCTAATGATGCAAATGCAGAATCGAGTAATCCTGTACAAGCAGAAAAGGCTAATGATGCAAGTGCAGAATCAATGAATGCAAGTAATTCTGTACAAGAAATAGAAAAGGCTAGTGATGCAAATGTAGAATCAATTGACTCAAATTCTTCTACATGTAGAAAAACAATGGATAGTGAAAAACGTATGAGTACAGTGAATGGAAGTATCAGAGCTTCGCAATAAATAGAAACTTTTATACTCAATAGTACATCCTTGTAAATGCTGCTAATAAAAGTACTTGAAGAATTTCCAGTTTTAATTTGTAATAAAACATTTTTATCTTTCCTATAAATGTTTTATTGAATTGACAGCTTCTTTAATGTCCTATTTCCTGTACCTTTTTCTGCACCATACTTCCACTATGTGCATGTATGAATGAATATTAGAGCTGTCATTTTATGGTGTAATTCTGCACATATTTCTGTTGATAATGTAGATGAAGCAGGTACTGGACAGCTGGACAGCATAAGGATTTCCTGTACAGGCAAACTTTTCACTGCATATCCTTTTCCTGATCCATAAAATTTGATGGAATACATGACCTTCTTGGCAAATGTTTTTAATAATGCATCCCCACCAAATTTTTTTCCCCTCGAAATATACAATGGTATGAAATTAATGTTGAATGTTGTCATTATGACAGACTTCTTTGCAAATGTCATGAATAAACATTGAATTTGTTTATTTACTGGAAATGCCTACTTCATTCTTAACCTGACACGCTATTGGTATACTACTTTTAAAAGCAATTAATATTGCCAAAGAACATTGGGTTGAAATTGTGTGGTGATGTATAAAGCAAGAGGTCAGTTCTCACTTTGGAGTAATCCCCGCTTCCCAGTGGATACATTCTGTTCCTCTATAGTCAATTACTTCCTCTTAACACATGTAGTCATTTGTGAATTCTTGATACTGAAACACTGTGGTCTGAATTCTATGATGCTGTGGTCAATGCTAGTGCGTAAACCAAGGCCAGTTTTCTCCAAAATTTATATTCCTCATTCGATCTGAACAAACTCCTTGCATTGTGAGTTTCAAACTTTAAATAAAGCCACATTTTAAAAAAAGGTTCTCGTAAACGGCTTTTTTTTTATTAACCCTTGTCTACGCAAGACTTAAGGATATTAAGGTTTTCATATCTTACAATTTGTTTACAATTTTTATAATATTTTTGAACCAATTGCATTATCTGAATTTTGTGACAAATGTTTCATTGACAAGTTCATGAAAAAAGAAGTTAAATTAATTTCACTTAATTTCAATTGTGGCAAATAAAAGTATTTACTTGTTTTTGCCAATATTTTAATATTTACCCTTTCATTATTTACATGATTTAGCTTGCAATGTAATTAAAGCCACAGGAAAATCTTTTTTTGTTTTTGGTTTCAGAATGGGCAGGAGGTTAAATAATACTAGACATTGTGAGACATGTGGGATTTGGGATATAAAATTTCTTCCGAAGTCTGAGATGGTTGTGTAGGGCACTTCTCTAAAATTAGACCATTTGACAAGGAACGCCCAAACAAGAGTTCTGAAAGTTGCCCAAACGTAATAACTAGGGCTGGAAAGAAAAAAAAAAAAAATTACTGGTAAACTTTCAGTAGCTGTAAACTAGCAACTAGGAAATGAAATAGATCTTTGGTTTCCTAATGACAAAAACAAAGGCATATTCATAAAAATAATTTATGGGGGCTACTTCAGCAAGTACAAAATAATAATTTTTCAACAAGTTACTGCTGCAACTTGAAACCAACACTTCAAACTGTCGGAAGAAAATAATTGATAAAGGTATTCAGACACAAAGTAGCAAAACACTTATTAAGAATTTGGAATTAATAAGCATTGATAATCCTATTTTTAAGATAACTTACTAATTCATTACTTGTCTTAATTAGGAAAGGATCAACAGCAAACCAGTGGCAAATTAAACTCTTGAACTATTTTTTGGAGACAAGAGGGGAAAAAAGTGCCAAGTTGAAGCAAAATTACACTTGACACATGTAATAGAGTAACTTTCTTCTTGGTTGGACTTTACATTCACACCCGTAAATGCATTACCAATTTTTTTTTTAATTGTAAATAAAGTCAAGTTAATAAATATGCACAAAATATATTTGTAAGTATAATACAAATGGGTAACATATGGTTAACTTTTTATTCCAAAATGTACATTTCAATTTACCAAAACTTATGTTTTTTAAACATAATATTTATTTAAAAGCACCATTAATTCCTTGTGTTGAGCAAGACCTTTCAGTAGGAAGATCGGAAAATACAGTACAAACTGTTATGTACAAAATGTTTAATCTTATTTACAAGTAATTAGCTTTTAAATAATGTTAATGTTAACATTGCATAATAGATGCAAATTAAAATCTTTGGTTAAAATTTCTTCAACACAAGTCAACAGAGGTTGACAAAATACTTACAAAAATAAAACTACATAAGTTTTTTTGTACAGTCCTAAAATGGAAGCTTCCTATTTACCATATTTTAGCATATATGGTGGAATGTCTTTGTTGGTCATAATACTATAAACACACTGATGCTTGTTTATTGCAGGATGTATACTTTGAACACAACCAATACTGTTTCCTTCTTTCTGATATTCAATGCACTTTCTTACAAAGAATTTGTTTCCTTCATGAACCAAAGGATGATCCAAAAATTCTTCAACCTGCAAGAAAATACAAAACACTTCATATAATGATATTAACAATACAAAAGATGACCGACTCTCAAGCAGTAACAGCGAAACTTCTTAGCTCATAGAAAAAGTTAATTTCATGCATTGCCTTTTCCCCATTTGTTAACAATAAAAAAAAAAAAAAAAAAAAATTTAGGTTAATGGATTCAAGAAAACTGGCATTTTTGAAGGTAGTGTCTGATCTGGGTTAAACTGACTTTTGCCAGTGTTCAATTTTAAATTAAATTTTTCATCTAAAATTCTTATTAATGGTTCAACTTGGTTTAAGTTGAAATTGATTTTCAAATCTTCACTCATAGTCACTGACATTTTTATCCTAAAAATGGTGCACCTTTAATAATATATGCCAACAGGATGAATTCAATGATATCTTTAATTTTTTTTATTGATATGTAGATGGCCACCATCAATCATTTGGCTGCACAAGAGTCACCGTTTCCTTTACCCTGTAAGGCCAGTGTGTGTTCCCCTACTTTTATCGCAAGTTCCCAGAGGTCCCTCCACATGTTCTCCCAGTGTATTGCTCAATGCAGCAGCACAGCCATGGCCAAGTGTGGGCACAAGGAAATTTGCTCTACCATGTTGAAACAAATCAAATCTCTCAAATGCACTTTGAAAATCCTACCTTCATCCATTGACATGCTTTGATTTCTTTATTACATTTTTCTATTTTATCTGACAATGGCTTAAGACAAGCTATGAAGTATATGTCAGAACATCCAAAATTAGCATTGTGCATGTGGCGAAAAGTTGCAAGATATTGGAATTCTGCTTGAACATTGGTTTCTTCAAAAACTTCTCTGACAGCAGCATCACCTATATTTTCACCTGAACAAAGATTCAATGGATAAAATTATGTTAAAGAAAAATTACAATGCAAAATGGTAATTCTAATCAGTAAGTATAAGAAAGTTACAAAAATTCTAAACATTATTGATCTCAACCCTTATCATGTGCAACATGAATTGATTCTACTGTGAGAATGACAACACAAACTTCATAAACGAAGCATAACCTTTTTTATGGTTCAGTAGTCAGTGTGAAACTGATTCATTGCACAATTGCATTAGAATACAGGATAAGATCCCATTATTGAACTGAAGTTCCCAAGTTTTGAAACAATTAAGTTAATTTCAATAAAGTGATAAGCGTCACTGTTATCAAGGGATTTAAAAGGAATTTTAAGATATCTAAAAATCAAAACTAGTTTCAAATCAACTCCTCATATCTGCACACAAAGGTATAAGTAATTCAAATAATATAAGAATGAAATAATCATGTGAATTTACAGTAAAAGAAAATCAGGATTATATTTTTCACTGTCAATAACCCCAGCACAAATGGCAGGGTAGAAAAAGGTTTAAATTGACTGGAGAAAATTTGTCATAATTTGTTTTTCAGAAGGAAATTTTTCATATTGTACAGTTTTGACAATTGCAACATTGCTTCTTGCTTTACTTCTGGACAGTAAATGTAAATTCCCTCTCTGTTAACAAATTCTTGAGTACTCGTGATGACTGGCATGAGAAGAGTTAGTCATCAGTAGCACTCAAATCAAATTTGTAACTCAAGCCTTTTTGCCAATAGTTCCTAAAAAACAGGAGCCAACGTTTCTTGTTATCTAATGTTATCAAATAAGAACGTTGCTACTTTTATTCATAACTGAACTGTGAATAGTACAAAAGAGAGAATAGAAATTCTGGAGCTCAAGAAAACATCTGCAGAATCTACTCTTCCACAAGTTTGTTTTTTTTTAGTCCTAATTTGAAATGAACGAGGGAGAGAATCAGTTACTTCAGCAAGAACATTGAACAGCACCATGATGATGTATTTATAACCTCAAACTTTTAAGGCACAACTGACAACAGACAAAGTTAGTGATGAGATTTCAGTCTTTGCGATTAACAAAAACCGTCCTCGACCCTATACAAGGCACAATTTCCAACACATTATAAGCTCAAATACTTTTTTAATGTATTAAAACACACCATTCTCATTTGAACTATGAAACAGAATGTTCTTGTTCCCACCACTTGTTCTTTAGTTTCATTACAATAAAACAAAAGACCCAAAATTAATATCAGCCTGCTGGATGCAAGCATAACTTGCAAGTAGTACACATACGACAGCCAAACCCTTAATGAAATCTCACTTACAACTCTGACATTGATCCTATCACCTTAAGCCAGGCCTGCACAATGCCTGCTTCCAGGGACATACACTTACGAGCTAGTAGGGGGAAGGAAGGCAGCTTTGGGAGGGGAGAAGCCAGAGCGGAGTCAATGTGCATAGATTGAATGCCTGGGTGTCGTAATGCAATAATCCATGCTGTGAAATGATTTGTCCATTTATTTAAATCATGAATACGGCAATATACTGTATTTCTGCTACAAGGACTGTATTTCACTTAATGTTTTTCTGGGGACTGCTACGTATCGACATTTTTTTTTAATTTATTTTTTACTTTATGCTCAAAGTAACTCAATATTTTAAAGAAGTGGCCTCTTTTAACAATGTATTATATAATTTCACTAAGAAACATTTACAATTTTATAGTTGATTTTCCACCAGGAATGTTATAATTTTCAAATGATAGCAAAACGGGGGAAATTGAGAGCAGTCTCTCACAATGATATTGATGTAAAAATGAAAAATAGGCAATTCCAAGAAGGGTATTGTTTAGCAGTACATAGTATACTTGTAACCATTTTCCTTCATTATGAAGCTGAATTAGGGATACCAATGAGCAAACCCCCTACGATGTTTTACGGTCAATCATAACCTTATTATGAGTCTTGTTAAAAATAACGCAAAGGGTTGAATCATTTTTATACAATGTCAAATGATTGTGAATAAACAGTGTTCGTTTAATTGAAATTATAAATATATAATGTACTCGTCGGAAATTAGAGCAGACAGTAATCATGATTTTTTAGTAATAAGATTTTTTTAGCTTTGATAAAACTGTCTTAATCAATTAAATATAGTTAATAAAAATGTACTGCTGTCATCATCAAACAAAAAAAGGCACTAAATTTGCGAACACACCATAGCAAAGCAAATTACATTACTAGTCCTACATGCATTTATAATACTGGCATCCAAATCAAATATTTAATACACACACGTCTAATTTGTTTTAGGATCATTTTTTTTGTCATATCTTGACAACAAACATTTCCCAAATAAAAGATGATACCTGACCTGTATGAAATAGTCTGTCATATTTACACTTGCTCTTTTAATTTATGCGCTATGTTTCAAATTGCGCAATTCTTATTGGTGGTCCCTACTTCTAGAATGAGTCTATCCCCACCCCTCCAAGCGGCCGGAGTTCGCATACACGTTGCTCTCGTGTGGCTCCGAAGGTCAGTTCAAGTGCAAAATGCGGTGCGCAGGCCTGCCTTAAGTAAATTATCTCATCTGTGAAAATCATTACTTGTTGGAAGGCTCAATTAATTGATTCTGACGCATCAATAATATCAGCATTTAGACCATCATGTTCAATACTTTAGAGCTGGGATTGCTTTCTGAGAGGAAACATTTGCTCTGCATTGTGCTTGTCATCTCTAAAGCAACTGCCACATGACAACAAAAAACTTTTCCACATTCAATACTGTACAATTGAGTGTCAATATCTTCATTCAATTCAATGATGCCTTATTTTACATGGTGAGGTTCAGGCCTGCTCTTTCATCAGACCACACAAATTTTGCCATGCTACTTTTGCCATCCAGCTGTGAAAGAAAGTATCCCTTTTGTGAAGGAACAGGCAATTAGAATTTGGCTCAGAGGCTTCTTTTGGGCTTGAGGATCTTTTACATGCATTATATCTACGACATGGGACAGCCAGCTTTACTTCCCCTCCAGAGGATTTTTTCACCCCTAAAATCCACAGCTTCAATTAGATTTGAACCTGCAAACTTTGGAGATTTAAAATGCATTTCATATTGCTGGAGTTTTCAGAGCCATACTATTATTATGATTTAAATCATAATAATAATGGAAATTCATCCATCTGAAATGCCGAACTTCATATATACTGGCTACATAATATTATACTGCATGTCTCTCTTTGTGCTTTTGTGATACTTTTAAGTAGTTGAAAATTTTCATGGATCTTAATATTGTTTTAAATGTTTCTGTTGTTCACAGTAATTTATTACATGTCCAGTTTATATAAGTATCAATTTGCTCACTAAAATATAATTATAACAAAGTTAAACATACCAAATGTGGCATAACAAATTTAGTATAAATATTACCTTTCCCCATAAGGCCATCGACTATGAAATCAAATGACCTCAATAGGATCAATTATATTAAGAAAGAGGTAATGAAATAAAATCAACAAAAAAATTTAAGATCAACCAACCAGGTTCCACATAACCACCAGGAAGTTTCCACTGCTGTTTTGTTGAAAAGCGTTCTTGAATCACCAATATCTCATCATCTGAATTAATAACTACTGATCCAACACCCACCATGGTATGACAATATGATGGAATATTGCATTCTTCATTCTCTGGTAGCCATTTGTACATAACAACATCGTCTCCCTTTATATGATGAAATTTGAAGCCATTCTGGAAAATAATACAAGACATGATGTGAAATATTACACTGCATTGCCATGAAATTTGATCTGTAGAGTAGCTGATTTTTGAGATCAAGTCTATTTTACAATGTCCTGAAAATAATATTACTACACGTAATGCTTATGTAGTATTTAATGCCTCACCAATGCACGTAAAGAATGACAGAAATATTACTAAAGAACAAATATACCTTAGCAAGTTCAGGGATCCAGTCTGCCTGTTCCAGGGCAACATTGAACCATACAGTACGCACGTTATTTGTTCTCCAATATTTCAATGACTCTGTAAAATGGATATGTTAGTTATATTTTTCCAGTGTACTTCTTACCAATCATAAAAACAATGTCAAATACCTTCAAGAGTGATGGAGAAACATCCGCCGTCAGAAGCTTCACTTGAATTCACAACTATTCCCTTATATATATCCTTCTTTCCTTGAAAAATTGTACTAGTGTGTTGTTCGCCCCCTGATGAAGACATTTCCATAAATCTAAGACTACAAAAAAATAGTTAAGTGTATCAGTATCACTGAAATATAAATCAAACTGTGCCATTAAAAACGTTATTGATTTTTCACTATAATGTCATTGACATATGGCCGATGGAGCTTAGGTACAGTGTCTAACATCTCCAAATTAATCGGTAAATGATTCCTCAGTAAATCATACCTCAGTAAATGATAACTTGAAGAAGACGTAAGCTTACGAAAATGCCACTGATTCTGTGAGATTTCCAAGAGAATCCGGAAAACTGGAACGATGACCCTGCACATTTGTGAATAACCTATTCATTATGCTTATCAATACCAACTTCATCGATCAAGGCCGGAGCCCAGCGACAGCCACTTTCGGGTGCTTATAACCCACGTGCACGTTGCGAGACAATTGTACAGTGGTAGGGGAAAATTAGGCACGGTTGCCACATGAGTGCTTGCGTGAATGTTTGCAAAATCGATTTTATTTTAAAAATACTGTTTTAAAACAACCATTAGTTGGTAGCGGTGTTCTAGGTAAAAATGCATAAACACAACTACGAAAATTATCACGATCGTTGATTCAGTTCAACTCTTTGAAGAACAGCACAGTATACCAAGTAACGTGAAATAAACTATAGCAATCATAGCAAGTTGGGAGCGAGAGCGCGAAAATAAACAATCGACCGCAGATGCCACCTGCCGCATCGTAAACGCGTTTGAGCGATTTTACATTCGCGGAAGATTCGAAGTAAGGATAATGAAAGACGTAATAAAGCTGTAGGATATTATAAAATCAAGATGCAGCTCAAGCATTTGCGAACAGTTTTGCAGGCTGAGGTAATTTGTTATATAATTTCAAAATACTTAAACAACAATTGTAAATGCATTTCTTGAATATTGATGATTCACCTGTAGAACGGTATTGCGAAAATATCGGCCATTGCTTGGGCTCCAAATAACAACAAATTGGCTGTATGTACCTCAGACCGTGTTGTTCACCTGTTTGATGAAAATGGAGAAAAGAGGGATAAATTCTCAACCAAACCTGTGGATGCAAAGGTATAATTTAATTAGCAACTATCGTTAGTAATTATGTACAATTTTGAATAATTAATCATTAATTTCACTATTAGTATCTGCAGTTAACTTAATAAGTGTTCTTTTTTTTCTTTCAGTATGGCAAGAAAAGTTATGTTGTTAAAGGCTTAGCTTTTTCTCCTGATTCAACCAAAATAGCTGTTGGCCAGACAGATAATATTGTCTTTGTATACAAAATTGGAGAGGAATGGTATACTATCCAAAATTATTTATTCTTTATTTACATTTATGCCCATTATTATGTGAATTTCATTAACATGTATGCGAGAAACTATAGAGCAGAAATATCATTTTGGCTATAGTTTACTTAATTTTCTGAGCACAACTTATTCGTATCTTTATGTGATTGAGTGAGGCTGAAAAATATATATTAAAAAAATTTTGGTTTAATTATAGATGTATCATCTTGATTTTAATGTAATTATTTATTTAAATGCCATTTATGGGAATGCCACCAAGCTATTAAATAAAATTTGTGCTTTGGGGCCAAAAAATGATTGAAAGACATACAACTACTTTTATTGCATTTACTGTACCCTCATATGCTTTAAATCTATAGATCTATGAAGGAAACATTTACTAATATTTGCTATTCTCTTTGAAAATAGGTCACAAGGGCTTAATAGATTTTCAGTTATCATCTCTTGAAAATAAGATATATAATATTTGGTTTTCAAGCTGTTTCTTCAGATTCTATATAATAAAATCACATTTATGAAAATTTTTAATAATCAATTTAGGAAAATTAGATTAGAGAAGTAGGAATTGATCTTCAATACAAACATTTAAAATTAGTTGTTTTTAGTATGAAAAAAAGAGGTGAAATTTTAGAAAATACTAATTCTCATAAGACATTTTATCCAAAGAACTTGTAGAGAAGCCAATAAAATATTTTTTGATGATAAAGGTTTCTGTACCATAGGAATTGTATTGTGTCTCAAAATAAAAATAATACATTTATTTTAATAATCATGATCTACATTTACTTGAGTTAATATGATTTAAAAAATGAATCTGTAACAAGTATTATAATCAGGGTTTGGGTCAGTGTCCTCCACCTCAATCAGGTTTATCATCCAGTTTCTCTACATCCCTCGAGCAAATGCTGCAAAAGCAGGTAGCCCCCTGCTTTTCTTCAGAACTGTAATTGAAGCTTCAATATCTGCACTTGTTTTTTGATATGTGAGGGGAAGTGGGGCTTGGTTATTTTGTGAGCAATAGTGAAAGAGAGAACAAGGATTCTGGTGCTCAAGAAAATGAGAGCAGATGGTACTTCTGCCTGCTACATGTCACTTTGGGTATATAAGAATAAAATTACACTTTTGTATATAATGAGAAATTATTGAAAATAATGTAGTAATTTATTTGATTTGATCTATTTAATCAAGAAAAAGTAAAAAACTGTATGTAACATATGGGAGATAGTATTATGTACATAAAACATAATTATGATTACTTAAAATAGTGGTACACATTCTGAAATGACCGTGAAGAAGGTTTTTTATTTATCATTGGTCTCATGATTCTCTTCATTCTTATGTAAATGTTAATAAAACTGCAGTTGACAGTATTATTATCATGAAAGGAAAGAACATGACTTTACTCAAATTGTTTTATAAGTCAAGGGAAAATAATATCAATTGTGAATGAATTATCACAACTATTATTAATAAAATAAAATGTAACAGTTTATAAACCTTTGTATTACAGACCTTTGCTCTGAAAGATATTGTGTAGTTGAGGCAAATGGTCAAAAATTTGTAAAGTTTACTATATAGTTTGATAGTAGGTAATGAACGTATTTACTGCTGCTTCTGTAATTTTAACTTTCTATAACTTTATTTTTTATGCTCACTTTTATTCCAGGGGTGATAAAAAAGTAATCTGCAATAAATTTCCTCAGTCATCAGCTGTGACATGTCTTATCTGGTTGACAGAAGGGCCTATTGTTATTGGACAAGTGGACGGTAAAGTTCGAGCTGCCAATGTTAAATTTAATAAATCTCAGACATTGTACACTACAGATTCTTTAGTAGTATCTTTGGCAGCCAAGTGAGTAAAAAAAGAAAAAAAAAAGATATTTATATCATGAATGCTTCCCACGAATCAGCAAATATATTTTAAAAAATATTTAAAAATATGTTCACAGTTCTCGAGGCACTGGTTTTTTATCTGGGCATCTAGATGGAACAATTGTTCGCTATTGTGTGTCTGATGATGGTTCAATGGAGAAACAAGTAAGACTTTATTTTTATTTTACTTCTGAAACAGTAATAAATATTTAGTTTTGTGAAAAGATGACGTCTTTTGATTGTATTCAATATTAGTATTCACCAAAACTGTGTTTTTGAATTCTGTTGTTATTGTAGTGTTGTTGTCATAGAGTTCTCTGCAAAACTTACGTATTATCTGTTCTTTGCAGGGTAGAGTGGTTACCCACCCTGTGCCTCCTTACGCTCTAGCTTGGCCTGTTGGTCACACAGTTGCAGCAGGTTGTGATCTACGAGTGACTGTATATAATCGTGAAGGGCAAATTGCAAAGCAATTTGATTATAGTAGGGATGAAAAAGAGAAAGAATTTACTGTGGCATGTTGTAGTCCTAGTGGACAAGCAGTTATGGTTGGTAGTTTTGACAGGTACTTCTTGCTTCTAAATTTATATTATTTATGTTACTGAATTGATAATCAAGTGGAATTATTTAATATTTTAACAAATGTTAAATTTTATGTAATTCAAGTTATATCTGAAATGAAGTATTCTTTTAACAAATACTGCATTTAAGCAGTCTTCCATCAAATGATATACAGGGATGAATGTTATATTTTGACTAACAGAACTTTTGATTATGAGAATGTTATATTTTATTCTTTGGTTTGTTTAGAGTGCGGGTATTTAGTTGGAGTCCCCGAAAGTCAATGTGGGAGGAAAATGAACCTAGGGAAATTCAGCATTTATATAGTATTACTGCTCTTGGATGGAAACGTGATGGATCTAGGGTTGCTGTAGGGACTCTCTGTGGAGCAGTTGAACTTTTTGAGTCAGTTCTGAGGTAAATAATTCAGAATTATTTTGTACCTTGAGAAAAGAAAGAAAGAAAGGGGGCAGGGGGTGGGGATAAGATTTGTATCCAGAACAATATTACTTATCTGTAAAAATATTATAAAAGCATTTTTTTGTTTTAATAGTTCATTAAAATTATTCATGAATTATCTTTTAGTAAATAGTCATTTTATAATTTTGAACTACCTGAAATTGAATGTTTTTGCTGCTTCAACAGACGAACTGTGTGGAAAAACAAGTTTGAAATGACATATGTAGGACCTAGCCAAGTGCTTGTGAAACCTTTAGCTCCAGGATCAAGAGGAGTGATTCTGAAATCTCAATATGGCTACGAAATAGAAGATGTTCGAATAATGGGTCATGACAATTATTTAGTTGCTCGCACATCTGAGACACTACTACTTGGAGATCTTCAACGGAATTTATTAAGTGAAGTGCTGTGGCCAAATTCTGGTCATCATGAAAAATTCTATTTTGACAATCCTAATGTTTGTCTCATATTCAATGCAGGAGAATTAAGTCTTGTAGAGTATGGTGACAATGAAATTCTTGGATCTGTGAGGTAACTATAACTGATCATTTTTTATTGGTTCTGTGACATTACATTACATAAATGAAGTTCACAATTTAATAACTTCAGTGTATTCCAAATGTGATATACATTATTTATGATGCAAGTTGTAAAAGTGACATTTTATTTTGAAAGTAGAAAAGGTTGTGTCACTTGGCCAATAGGCAGAGAAGCGCGATCCTACAAACAAAATAAAATCACTTTCACCACATGTGTCATGTGTTATTTTTTAGACAGCCTTATTGACTTTCATTTTACTTTAATTCAAGTTTATAAATCACTAAATTATACATTAAGATGAGTGATTCGATCAGACAAAAGTATTTTGTTTTCTTTGATGCCTTCACAAATGTATCCGAATATTATCTTGTAGAGTAGCAATTATTTAAATTATGATTTAAATCAAAGGATTGTTTAAAAATCTTTAATGTACTTCAGCAAACCTTTTTCTTCTCTTTTTTCTTCTTTCTCATCAAAATTACCTTTTGTATGTTTTACCATCATATTCAATTACCACATGCAATTAATTACAAAAGTGTATCACAGCAATTTATAACACTAAACTAATGAAAAAAAAAAGTTGAGAAGCTTTATAACTCATAACAATAGAAATAAAAAAAAAAAATTACAAATTTGCTATATATTTGCAAAAAATATAGAAGGGTGCAGCATTTTCTGTTTATTTAAAATTTTTACTTAATGACATGTCAATTATACTGCTTTATAATGTAATAATGAAATATGTAAAATTCTTAAGAAAAAAATATTAATGCCACAAATTATTAGAAGAGGAAGGGGGCACAAGAAAAGAACATCTATAGTGTATCGAAGTACAGTGTGCTGCAGAGGATCTCGAAACAACAATGATTTAGGCAGAAATCCTATCCTACATTTCTACTGAGGGATGAAGGGTATGAGTATGATCTAGCCAACAGAACAAGGAGATTCCAAGAGATCTGAGCTGCAGAAGCTCAACAGCTTGGTGAAGCCATCTTCCTAGGGGAGTAAACCCTAAAACAAATTCCTGGTTCTATTTGTAGGGGGTGGGAATGATGGACCAGCTCCTTGTTGTCCATGTAAAAACTATGAAATGTTTAAAGGCCTAATCATGAGAAAATGGATGGTAATCGGAGACGAACGAGGCAAAGAAAATAGATAATGAATATTGAAACATCGAATACTTAAGGTTTGGAAAATAAAATACAAGAGGTAATTAAGCAACTTCAAGATTTAAATATTCAAGATTTAAATTGCAAGATTAAGTGAGATAAAGAAAAAGGAATTGGGTATAGACGAGATTGTATCCTATGTTCATATTTGGAGAGGGGTTCCAAAATATGATCAGAGGGGTGGTAAAGGAATTTCCAAAGTCATAAAAAGTAAATTCAGAAACCATATTAAAAGTTAGTAAACCATAGATGAGAGGCTGATTAAAATAAATTTGGAAAGTTTTAGATACAAAATGACTATTCTTCGAGTGTATGCACTGAAGAAATGAAAATACTAGTGTTTTAGAGGGATTTTACTAAAAAATAGAGTAATCAGTGAATGTGGGCTAAATAGAGACCTTATCTTAGGGGGCAATTTTAATGCTAGACTGGGAAAATCTGAGAGCTCTAAAGTCCTTGGACAAAATGGAGAAGAGATGGGAAATTCAAATAGAAAAATATTGATTCAACTATGTGAACAGCATGAACTTATAATTAGAAATGGCCACTTTCAACATCAAAATAAGCATATGTTCACTTGGGAAGATAGGAGAAGAGGAAGGAGATCTGTGACCAATTATGTAACCACTAGACAGTATTTAACGGGTAAAGTAATAGATATCAGGGCACACAGAGGCCCAGAATGTAGATCCAACCATTATCTAGTGAAGGGCCAAAATTATGTTTCCACCTATAAAACAAAAAGAAATGGAGAACAGAACAAAAGGAAGACAAAAATGAAAAGAGTGAAGGTAGGGAATATAATAGAGCATGTCTATCACAACCAAGTAGTACGATCATACTACTTGGCCCAGACATGAATATACACCCAAGCAATGACCTTCATGGTGCATACTAACCCTGAGGAAGACCACGACAGGATGGTCAAAATGTCGGCAACAGTCTGCACAGCCTTCGACGCAGCGTCACCCGGACAGCCAAGATCATGCACATTATTCTGGCCACTGAAGCCTACGACTTCACCTTAGACATAGTCTACATCAAGCAGCTAAAGAAGCACTTGGAGAAATACCTTTAAATAAGAAAAAAAAAGAGGGAGGAGCTATTGGATTACTCAAGACCTGGAGTAGGAAATAGAGGAGAAGAAAGAAGAAAATAGGTAGAATATATATAATCATGCGAAGTAGAGTTAGAAACATGATACGAAAAGAAGAACAATAATCATGAGAGTGAAAATGCCAAGTATTAGAAAAGTCTGTAAGTGTAACAAAAACAAGTGAGATTTGGAAGTTCATAAAAGAGGTAAAATCTCCCCAAATGGAAAATGTCTGCATACAAAGAATATCTGTAAGCAAATGGGAAGAGTTATTTAGAAAATTATTAAACGAAGAAAGATCAGAATTTCTTGGAACTACAGAGAAGGAAAAGATATCTTCAACCAGGGAAATTACAGTAACCAGAGGGTTAAGAGATGTATCAAATAAATTAAAGGCGTTAAGGCTTCGGTTCCAGGAGAAATCCGAAGTGAACTGAAGGAACATCGAAGCTAGGGCGAATGATGACAAAGCTGATGAATAGATTTATAAATCAAGGTGATATACCAGAAGACTGGAAAATAGCTTACATAACACCAATATATAAGAAAGGAAGGAAAGACATGTGTGAAAATTATAGAGGGATAACAGTGCAAACATGTTCAGTAAGGTGTATGGAAGAATATTAAGAGAATAGAAGATGGATACAAGGAGTACGAAGAAGAAGAACAAAGTGGTTTTTGGGCAGGTCGATCTTGCTTAAATAAACTGTTTTGTCTGTCCCAGGTGATGCAAAAGATATGGCAGACAGGGAGAGAACTTCACATAGTCTTCCTTGATACAGCAAAGGCATATCTAGGGTGTCAGTAATAAAGTTATGGCAAGTTATGAATAAAAGTAAAGTAAATAAAATCTTAATAAATGTGGTGAAGGAATTGTATATAGATCAAAAGGGAAAAGTGAAAGTTGGAAAACAGATGTCCCTAAAATTTCTTATATCAAAAGGACTATGGCATGGATACTGTTTGTCACCTACCCTCTTTAAAATGAATGTTAATGCAGTGATTCAGGTATGGAAAAGAAAATGTGCTGGGATGGGAATACCACTTGATGATAATACAACACTGTATACCCTACAGTTCGCTGATGATCAGGCGCTGATGGTGCACATACAGGAAGATATTGTATATATGACTAGGAAAATAGAAGAAGATTATGAAAAATGGGGACAAAGCCAGAACCCAGAAAAAACAGTATATTGAACTCTAGGCAGTACACATGACATATTGACTATGGAAACTGGAGAAATAATAAGACCAACAGAGGACATAAAGTACTTGGGAACAACAATAGGGAAACAGGAATTTTATGGAAAGGAATGTGAAATCCTACTCATTAAAAGAAGACAAATTTAAGGAGCAATGAGTCCAGTAATCTGGGATCCAAATATAAGCAAGAAAACGAAAATTAGAATATATAAATTTATGATTGAAATTGTTACATTGAATGGAGTAGAAGTATGACAGCTTCCAGATCAACAGAAATAAAAATTGAGACCCCTAGAAATGGATTTCCTTTGAAGAGCTGTGGCTATATCTGGAAGGAAAAGAATGAGAAATGAACAGGTTAAGGAAATAATGAATATGCAACATGATATAATGGAAATTAAAAAGAAACAACTCTTGGTTTGGACACGTACAGTGAATGGATGAGAGATGACTCCCCAGAAGATCCTTAGAATGGCAACCAAGTGAAAGGAGATAACAAGGCAGACCAAGACCAGGATGGAATGACCAGATCAGAAAGATAATTGAGAAATGGATATTACCTCCTGATTTCTGGAAAAACAGAGAAGACTGGAGAAGAAGAGTAGACTCTGGAAGACCAAAGTAGCAGTTAAGAAACCAGAAAGAAGAAAAAGACAAATTAAGATGTATGAAAAGGATTTAAGACTACTCTAAATTTGAAATAAATAAAAATTAAATGTTTCATATAATTTTTGCTCATTTTTCTTACTTAAATACTATCTTAATTTAAAAATTGTTTAATGTAACTTAAAAAATTAACTGAGCGAGATTGAACGTTCATATAATCATAAACATTTCATGACATCATTTGTTTGTTTACTTTTCTTCATTTATTTATAGTTTTAATGACTAGATCATTAGCAACTTTACAGGTAAACTTGTTATATAATTCAGTTATATTTATATAATGTTACTTTATACTGTTTGTACTGTGTTATTTTTCAGTGTGTACTATAAATATTTCTTCTTATATTGAATTTATCATCCTAATGCTTTTTAAAATTTTCATTTTTATTTCATTATTCACAAATACCAATATGACTACTGTTTGTTATGACTTCATTTGTTTTTAGCATGAAAATACAAGGACATTGGGCATTAATTTAATCTAGAAATGCGATTTCACATGTACATTAGGTTATGACTATCAAATTTGAGTAAACTGAGATCATGGTCATTTAAGAACAAAAGTTAATATTCACTCTATCTCTGGGCTGAAAATCGCATAATTAGTAGGTTTCGTGGGAAGTGTATCTCTTACATCATCTATAAATGGTTCAACTCATTATTGTGAATTAATTTTCTTGTATTGTATGAGTGTTGCATTCTCAAGTAATTTGAAATTTCAAAAAAGTTAGTATTTTCCAGAAATGGTGTCATAAATTTGTAGGTATTATGTGTGTGTAAGTAGTCATTGTGCAAAAAAATTGTTTTATCCATCAGTTTTTATTTTGTCTACTTACAAATGATTTCTATCATGTATCAATTTTATTTATTCAAATTACTTTGATAATGTATCATTTTCATTGTTTAAAATGGATTTTGCAGAACAGAGTTCATGAATCCTCATCAAATAAGTGTTCGTTTAAATGAAAGAAAGCAAAATAGTGCTGAAGATAATAAGAAGCTGGCTTATTTGTTGGATTTAAAAACAATTTGCATTTGTATGTATTTCTCTAATACAATGTAATTTCGTAAATTATCCGTAGTATTGTTTGAATATTTATTCAGAATGTTAACCTTTCTTTTACAGTGGACTTGGTTTTTGGTGTGACTGTGGCACAACTAACTCATGACTCAAAGATTGACTGGCTTGAATTGAATGAAACTGGTCATAAGTTACTTTTTCGTGATAAGAAAATGCGTTTAACATTATTAGATATAATAAAGGGGCAAAAGATTTCTATTCTCACTTATTGCACTTTTGTTCAAGTAAGGAAGCTTACATTTGGTCTTATCAATGTAATTGGTCTTTACTAATAATAAAATGCTTTTCTTTCGTTTTGCAGTGGGTTGTGGGAAGTGATGTTGTTGTAGCTCAGTCTCGGAATAATTTATGTGTTTGGTACAATATTGATGTACCAGAACAAGTTACATTAATTACAATAAAAGGTGACGTAGTAGATGTTGTTCGTGCTGATGGGAAAACTGAAGTATGTGAATTTAATATTTTACCTCTAATTTAATTTTGTATCAATAAATTGCAAAACCAAATCCAGTTTTCAATTTAATTTTTCAGGCAGTTGTTCAGGAAGGCAGTCATCAATTAGGCTATGAACTGGATGAGGGACTTGTAGAATTTGGGACTGCCATCCATGATAATGATTTGGGGCGAGCTGTGACATTTTTAGAAACACTAGGAGATAAACCTGAAGCAGAAGGCATGTGGACCAATTTGGCATCAATTGCTTTAGAACTGAATAAATTGCATGTTGCTGAGAGATGTTATGCTGCTCTTGGAGATGTATCACGCACTCACTATCTTCGACGAACTATTGAAATAGGAAATAAATATGCAGAAGAGAATGGTATGTTAACTTTTTTCAATTATTACTATGTTTTATATTTACTTCAGCAATTTACTACTTTAGTTACACTTCTCCCAGATGGTGATTTTATGGGTTGTCCTGACGTATGGGCAAGGCTTGCTATACTTAATAATCGTCTGAAAGATGCTGAAGCAGTCTACCTGGAGCAAAATCAGTTGAATGAAGCAATCACTATGTATTGTAATCTTCACAAATGGGAGGAAGGTATGGTAAAATTGACTAATTTAAGAAGAATCTAAATTGTTACCTTGAACTAATCAATTATACATACATGCTGTAAAGGTCAAATGGCTGTGTAATGTTAATATTGTTCTTTGCTTAAAGCTTTATCATTAGCTGAAATGAAAGGGTTCAGCAATTATGATCAGTTACGTGAGAAACACATGCAGTGGCTGCTTGACACTAATCAAGAAGAAAAAGCTGGTGAAATGAAAGAACATGAAGGGGACTACAATGCTGCATTTAATTTATACCTAAAAGCCAATTTACCCTCAAGGGCATCAAGGTGAGTTCTGTATTGTCGGAATACAATGAAGTGGAAATGCTTACAGAATGGCTGGAGAAGAAACATACTGTTCATTCAGATAAAAAGCACTGTTTGAATCATGATTAAAATATTTGATTTTATGTTATCAGCTAGGAAAATGATATTGAGATGATGCATGAAACAGAGTCCTCAGAGACTTGAACAATTGACTCAGATGCATATTGGACATGCTATTTATTGTGATTACTGTTTCCAACTTTACATTACAACGTTAAGGCTAAATGTACTGACACTAGTTCAATTAGTCACCACCATGTAGCAGCACCAAAATAAGCCAAAATTAATTACTTTATTAATAATGTTTGAACAAGGTGTCTGAATTGCAATCAGTAAATGACATTAGATTTGTATTTAATATAGAATTTATGCTACATAGCCTCTTTAAAAAAAAAAAAGGAAAAGGAGTTTTAAATTTTTTTTGTAATAGTTCTGGGGAGAAATTAAAAAACGTGGGCTTATAGTGCAATGGTGAAGTGTTTCCTTAATCCAACACTGTATCAATTGTTCAAATCAGCTGAATAGGCGCATCATAAAGTGAAATTTAGGAAAATACATTGTCCTCCACCATCACTGCCTCTGCGCTTATGGGCGCCGGCTCCTAGAGACATGGAAGCATTCTGTAAGAGGTACAAAAAGTGGACTGGGAGCAAGGCAGGCAAGCAGGCGGTTCACTTGTAGGCCGACTGGACTTCGTCAGATAACACTTTCCTCATCACATTAGTCTTACACTCTCATATATGTACTGTGTATGTACTGAGTATATGTAGTATAAAGAAAATTATGTAATGTCATGGAAAATCGATTTCAAGATTTCAATCAAATGCATGTTTTGGGGCCCCTCATACTAAAAAAGGGTTGTTTCTTTCTTTTCAAAACATTCGACGGTCTGACTGCTCATCTGTGAAGAACACTAGTGCCGAAACTACAAATATTCCTAGAATTTCATCCAAAATGAATATTCACTGGTCTTAAGCTTTATGAGTTCAAAAAAGATTGTTTAAAATTTGGATTGTTTAAATGACGACCCTGTGACATCTTTTATATTTTCTTTGAAACATCTCCAAATTTTTTCTTCATATTGGTTGTAAGAATAGATTGAAATATGCTTTCCAAGCTGGCATAGGTCTGATGTTTACTGTCAACTTCGATTTTCTGATGGTTACAAAAGTTAGAATTTTTCTTGACGTCTCCTCACAACTTCAATATTGATTCTTGATTTTTCTTGTTGTCCCTAATTAATTCTTTAATTTCATGCACATTTATTTGAAAATTTTAGTCATTTTCATGTAAAATTACATAAAATATGCGCATCACAAACAATATTAAAAACAAATATTTCATAAAAAACGGTTCTATTTTTTTTTTTAGACTTTGGTAGGCATGGTTCTAATTATGCTGTGTAAGATGACATAAATGCCATATTGCTGTATTCTTTTGTTTTTTTCAAAACTTACACAATTGTTTTTTTGTTTTCTTCTCTCACATCCTTAATATTTACATTACTGGCCACTTGTATACATTATTGCATTTGTGAGAACTTGTGCTTTAAATGATGTCTGATAATGTTTCTCAAAAACTCAAAAGTATTCTGAGAAATTGAGCTTGCAGTTTTGCATTTTCAGAAACATGCAAACGTTAGATTCTTAAAATTTTTCAACAAAAATGCCTGTATATGATGAAAATTTGCATTTCTATAGTATTCTTAAAATCATGTTTCAGTTCTATCATTAAGGAACCGAAAAATTGAAAAAAAGAAAAAATTACCTTGTTTTTGCTGCAATGCATGGGAAGAGGGTGGAGTTAAACCGAAATTAGCCCAGAGCAAGAAAATTAGGAGACAAACTAGTTTTAGAAATGTGCCATTCTGTAGCATCACTAGTTTATTTTATTTCACAAATGACACTACTTGTACTATAATTTGAGCAGACGTTCTCATATCCCCTATTACTGAAGTATAGAACTGAATTTATCTTGAAAAATTATGATTCCAAATAATTTTTATTATTACCTGGTCTCCTTCGAACAAGACATGTAAACTGAGATGACTTGGTGGATTGAGAATGATTTGTAGCATCAATAGCGGAAGTGGAGCGAGAAATATTAAGCAAAAAAGGGCAGTGAGCAAGCAAGCCAATCACTATTAGTGACCATGGTAAGGGCATTCGCATAGTTGTCTATTTGCAAATCGCTGTTCCAGTGCCACGTCCAATTTAGAATTCCCGGACCTCCTCCTGACGCGGCCTGTAAAATTTCCATATCAAAGTTTAAAAAAAATTGAAATTAAACCAAAAATTTGTTGCTAATTTGTTAAGCCAAATATTGACCCTACTATGAACAATCTGCTAACTGGACAACAAGTTAACACCACAATTACGGCGGCGATGGTGTAACGGTTAGCGTACTGGACTGTTGTACCCAAGTTGGCGGGTTCAAACCCGATCGAAGCCGTGGATTTTTAAGGGCGAAAAAATCCTTCATACGCCTTCCTTCGGAGGGTAAGTAAAGCCGGCTGTCCCATGTTCGTAGATTTACTTGCATGTAAAAGATCCTCAAGCCTAAATGACGCCTCTGAGCTAAATTCAAGTCGCCTGTTTCTCGCCCAAGATACCTCCTTTCTCCGGTAGTTGGTGAAAGGAGCGTAGCGAAATTTGCGTGGTCAGACGGAAGAGCAGGCCTAATGGCCTGAGTCTCGCCACGTAAAATAAGGCATAATTCAATTCAATTACCAGAAAACCAAGAAATTACAGAGATATATTTTTTGTGGCTTTTTTGTTGCTCAGTACTACTCAAAAAGAAATTTTGTAGCTCTTCAGCTACCACCTAACAGCTAAAATGTAAAATTTTGCCACAATCCCGGAAAATCAAAAGTTGCCCTCTTTGCGGCGAGTGACGGTAAAGAAACGAATATCTGTCACATGTAGGTACCATGGAACAACAGCCTACACTATGGTTAGGCAACCTTAGTGGACAGATTGAATCAGACGAGCAGAATAAATTGAGATTTTTGGCCTCACATAAAAAGATGAAGTTTCACAATTATTGTAATTGTAGATTTATTATAATCAGAAGATTTTGAAGTTAACGATAACAGTTCCATGAATTATGAAAAGGATGAGTGTATACATAATATATTCATGCGAGGAATAATTTGATACGACAATGACAGCAGGCTATTTTACCACTTTTAAATTTGTCCCAAAGTACGAAAATATTTTTAAAATTAGCTTCAGCTATTTTACTTGGGAAAAGAGAATCACAAAGGGAATTCTATCAAGGAGACAAACATCGTTTTGAGATCAAAAATTGAGTCGTAGGATAAAAGAAACATGCATAATATCTGCTTATTCTTTCCAGTAGAGGAATAATAATGGAAGATCTTAGAAGTAAAATATATGTAAAATAAGATGTGAGATGGGATATTGGTGATATTTACACAATGAGTTCAATTTTCTTTTTGAATTCAGTTCCAAATTCAAATCGATATTTTGAGTAATGCCTCAAACAAATTTATGACTGTATTTGAAGGAAGACTGAAATATGTGAACAAGTGAAGTTTACAGATCAAAAATTGGACCATTGAGTCAGACTTTATTGATAAAGTAAATTCCCCTGTAATAGGGCTGCGATCTATTGGATTTTTCACAAGTGATTTTTGCTATTTTACCACTTTTAAAAATTTGTCTGAAAGTACGAAAACATTTTTACAATTAGGTTCGGCTATTTTACTTGGGAAAAGAGAAAATAAAATTTGCATTTGCAAGATTTTTTTGTCACACGAGCAAAAGAGTCTGATTTCAATTGATTTGTTAGCACTGAATTGGACTATGTAAATTTTCAAGATGAACTATGAAAAACATTACTTTTAGTTACACTTTGATAATGATAGGAACTTTGTTATTAGAAATTCTGACAGTTTTTGACACACCTACATCTTTTTACTTTCTCGCCTTTGATGGCAAAATGTCTGTTCATCCGTCTGTCTGTGAACAATGCTAGTGGCTAAACCGTTCAGAGAATTTTCTCCATAGTTGATATTCCTCAATCGATCTGGCTGGTGCCAAGCCCCCCTGAATTTAAAACTGATATTTTAATTTTAGGGAGTACTAGACGTGAAGCCTGTGAGACATTAAAAAAAATGGCTTCAACATTTATGTTTAAGTTGTTACTGTGAAGGATGTTTAAGGAAATGGCGCAGTTCTCATTTTTGTTAAAAACCTTGATTTTTTGAGTAGTTGTAGTCTACAACTACAATTGTGAAAATACTTTTTTTTCCTTAATAAAAAGTATTCATTAGAAAGAGATCTTCAAATAAAATCGTGTTGAGTTTTGCGATAATGTGAGTATTTTTTTGTGTATTTTGGCGTCAAACATGATCGCTCACTGCCAATTTCCTGCTCTTCATGAGCGTAATTGAGAATACTTGAAGGCATGCTTACATTCAAACTTTAATTATACGTTTACAAATTAGTATTTGCAAAATTGCACGCAACATTGTGCGAAAACTACTAAAAGTTTCGAAAAAATGTACAGGGCCTTAACGAAAGAACAAACTATGGACAACAAATTTCATATGAAGGAAAAGCTCTATCTTTAATTTTGTAGTTGAAAGAAGACCAAAAAAAATCAAACTTTTGAAATTTTCGAAAATTCAGAGTTAACCATGAAAATCGGACCTATGCCTCCTTTATAAGAGTATTTTGCTCTATTGTTAGAAGAAATTTCAAGAAAAAAATTGTGGGCCGTTTTTGAGAAGATTTTGAAAATATCCCAGGGATTTTATGTAATGTACCCTCAAAAACTAATGAATTATTTTCAAAATCGCTTCGGCTCCGGTCAAATGAACAGGGTTTTTTTTAATTTGGAAAAAATCCTACGCATTGTTTAGGCGCTAGTGTTGTTCACGTGCACCAGACAGTCGGCGGACAGACAGACCGGCAGACGGACGTTTTGAAAAAACA